TGAAACAGGGGTACACCGCATTCGTGAAATGGAATACGTCATGTTAAACAGATGACTCTACTGTTGGGTTTTCTCACTAGTCGTTTCCTGGATCTCCCCCTGTTTCAGAAATATTCTGGATGGATTTCAGATGGGTTTATAGCAAACTGCAGGCAAGTTTCTACGCTTCGGACGACAATAACTTCCTTCATAAGTACTCTTTTGTGGCCCAAGAACATCTTTCAAACCGCAATATTTCCTTTTTTTCAAAAAGTGCAACATTTTTTTGAGGAGACTCGCTGGTCTAGAAGATATTTTAGACAGGTTTTGATGGGCGTTCGGAGCCACTCATTGCTTCTGTGCCAATGTAAGAATACTCAATCAAGAACTTTCATATGCTTCCAAAACACATATTCCCGTTGAACATATTGAAAGCATAATTTGGCTGTCATCGATCGATGTGACCCGGTGTGCGCCGTGCACTACGCTATTACGCAGAGATGGTGGAAAGAGGTAATTTCTAATGGTGAGCAGTTTTTGCCTATGCAAGATGGTGTTCGCCCAGAGTTCGGAAAGGTCGATAAGCACGATTTTTACTATTATATTACTTAGGCTATCATTTAGGCACCTACTTACTTACTCATTGATTTGTGCAAAATATCAATATTGTAAGTTAACTACTCTAGTGTTTTGTAGTCCTTCACACATCGGGGTCCTCTACAGCACTGCTTCCGCTTAAAAGAAGAGCGATGACCCCCTTGCTGTGTTTGTTGCTCCCGACCCTTACAATTAGTTTATGATCACCCCCCGCCCCTTGACGGCTATGTATGTAAGACCCTCTTGATGGGTTTCGCACAACGATGCTGTGTACCTGGAACCGTTTTTTTTTTGATCGACAAGTACTCGTCCGGGCACTTGATTAGGGCCAAGGGTCGCGACGCGGCTGCGGCGTGTCACGAGCGCGGCGATCAGCTGTTTCCAGCCTATTTTAGCCATTTTCTCCCTAATTTACACTGTTTTGGCTGCTTTTCTCAGATTAGTTGTTCCTTGTCTTCACAAGGTAAATTATGATTGAGATTCCTCTGATTTTTGCGTACAATTAAACAGTTAAGCAGACAACTTGAACAAATACCTGAAAAAAATCGCAAAAACGCCCCACTGCGGCATGAAAAAAACACTCCACGTCTTAGTGTACTTCATAAAAACAAAACAACTTACCTTTGGAAAAAAAGAAAATAGAGTGGAAACTAGGGA